GGGGGGGGGGAATGTGCACTTAGAATATGAATCTCCAATTCTAAACATATCATTGTATTACACAGCAGATGAATTTCTAATTGTTATTTTTGAAATATTTAGAAAAAAAACATAGATAGGTTTTATTTGTACTAGAAGTTGTTCCATTGGATAATCAGATCACGTCAATCTGAGTAACCAGCTGCTGCAGAATGGAATGCATGTGTGAACTTTATGCAATGGTCTTATCTTTGTACAGTAAATAAGACGAAAAAGCTGCAAGGCACCTGTTCCCAGAATACAGTGGCTTAATTTTCTCGGTGCATTTCTATTAGAGGAAGGGCTTTAAAAGGAATTTGCTTCATGTATGGATAGGAACAACCTAAAGACATGAAGGTTAACAATGCTTTCATGCACTTAATGTGGCTATATGATGCGTATGAACAAGCAAAGAAAATCAGAGGGACAATAAGGGTGAAATAGAGCTATAGTATCTGAGATGTGAATCGGGTATGGGAGAATAATGGCAGAATAAATAACCTAAGCTTCCCAAAAATAGTATGTTTATTAGTTTCATTTCAGTTATTGATTGATTCATTCATTCATTCTGTTCCTTAAATGTAGGGAGCTATCAGATACAAAAGATGGAAGTGGTTGCTGAGTAAAAGGAAATTATTAGTTTTAAAAAGCTATATAAAAACTGAAATGGAAATGCATAAAATGTTACAGATTTTATGATCAGGAGGTGGGAGGTGGGAGGGGAAATCACCATTTTTTAATGAACATCAGCTTGCAAAGCTTGGCCACTATTAGATTTTGCTCTTGCTTTGCCTGAACAAGCTAGCAGCCTAAACTGTCCAAGCAAAAAGGGGTCAACTTTGATAGTGTTGACTTTGTGTGTGCAAGTGTAATGCCTACCTGTACAAAGCAAATACACAAGCCTCCAATGAGAAAACGTAATTATTAGTCTAAAATGAGCCCCACTAGGGATTTGGAAAATGGCAGACTGCCATTATCTTTTTAAAGTCATATTTTTAGTAGTCCTTCTACTGCAGCTATATCCGCATCTTGCCATTGGATGTTTATAGACATTTTTCTGCACTCCTGAGGTTTTTAGTTTAACTTTGCTATGAAATAATGCTAATGAACTGCTTAAATGTGATTTATTAAAATACTGTTTAAAAATCATTATCCAGAGACAAAAGTTTGGGCTTCTCTGATTTACTTGCATATGAGCTCATCATGGCCAGAACTTACTTATACTTATCAAAGGAAAACCTAGGCTATGTCATCAGGCCACTCAGGCCCTGAATGAAGACTCAGCATAGTAAGGTAAAAAGCATGGGGCGCTTCAGTAATGGGGAGACCCTGGGAGGCCATTGCAGGCTGTGCATGGGTATCTCTCTGATCAACTGCTGAAAATCCTGTTTGGATTTCAGCAGGAGGTATTTTCAGCTCCTCAATGGAGGGATACGCATGGACTGCCCTGGGCTTCCCATAGTCTCTCCCATTCTCCTGAGGCATCACCCTGCTTCTTACTTGGGACTCCAGCTGCTTAATGACTCACAAGATCACTTAACAGCTACAACTAGGGAATACCAGGATTGCAGTTGTTGAGTTGGAGCAATCACATGATTTCTCACTTAATGACTACTTCGCTCTACAACCAAGTTCACATCCTGATTATGGTTGCAAGCAGAGGACTACCTGTAGCACATGCTAAATTTTTACTAAGTCCACAGCCCAGTGAAGTCCCTTTTTTCTTGGGAGTGGAGGTTGTATAAATTTATTTATCATTATAGTGAGTTATAGCCGTGCAAAATTTGAGAACCCAGATGTCAAGAATTATAAAAAATATGATGCTGTAAATTGACTTTCAGGTTGTCCTAGCTTGCCGTAGTCATTACTTGACCCAAGAGTGTTTATAATATCCTGCTGATAATCATCTGTTTTTTTTATCTCTCTCTCTCACAAGTCACTGTGGACCAGCATGTGGGGAATATCTTTATGTTCAGCAAAGTGGCCAATGTCATCCTTTTCTTTCGTCTGGATATCCGGATGGGGCTGCTGTATCTCACGCTCTGCTTAGGTGAGGTCTCTGGGATGGGGCTGTATTTACATTCTTCATGTAGGGATGGATCTCAGAAATAATTGGGCTTGAGCTATAAAGTGCCCTTTAACAATCAGCACCCTGCATCATTGATCTAATGTGTGGATTTTGATTTGAAAACATTACTCTGGTTTTCCACCTTGTCTCTCTCTCGGACCTTCTATCATGATTCCTAGTGACAATAGGATAAACTTTCCCTGATTTCTCTGTCTGAAATAATCCAGATACTATATAAAAGGAAACACACCCTTTGTTTCACCAACGCTCTTTCTATTGCTTCCCTATTGATTCCACATGTTTTGCCTTGTTTATTGCCTGCCTTCCTGCCCATTCTCCTTCAGCCTTTTTAATATTTTTCCCAATTTTACTCATTCATCTCCAGCTTCTTCTGTTGCTTACAACCCCCCCTGCTCCCAGCAAATGCAAGACTTTTATTAGTAATACATATTGTGAGTTTGAAAAAATAGCACATAGTGCAGCAAACAAATATAGATACAAGGTGCAAAATAAAAAATTAAAATGTTGTAACAAATAAAATGACCGTGTCCACTTGTGGAGCATGGCTGTCAACATGCTTCTTGTGCATTTTTAGTGTTCCTGATGACTTGCAAGCCACCTTTGTACTTGGGTCCAGAACACATCAAATATTTCAGCGATAAAACCATAGATGTGAGTATTTTGTTTTTTTGCAGATCACTTGTTTTGGGAAGAGTTGGATATCTTTCTGGCTTCTTTTAACTATTAGAATATCATGTGTAATGTTCACTTCTGTGTGGTGAGCAGGCTGACAGCAAGATCCCTCTTTTACAGGAGGAACTAGACCGGGACAAGCGAGTGACCTGGATTGTGGAATTCTTTGCTAACTGGTCCAATGAATGTCAGTCATTTGCTCCTATCTATGCTGATTTGTCTCTCAAGTGAGTGCATTTGATTAAATATTCTGAGGCAGGGAGATTGGGAGATGAAGCTGAGATTCCTGTACTTCGGTCAGTCATAAGGCACTGCCTATGGATCTGTATAAAGTTATAGTTGTTTGCTTCATACTGCAAAACCTGTGTCCTTCCTAAAGTATTATTTAAGGTACACCCATTCCCCTCCCTCCAGCATGTTTATTTTTAATGTGTCTTGCAGCTTCTGGAGTTTTACTTGATTAATGCACTGATGTTGGATTTTTCTTCCCTTGCTGTAACAATCACAAAATAGAGTCTTTTTCAGTAGTGAAAAGTTTGAAGTATCCACAGTAGCTGTGATTTAATAATAGTAATGATGTGTATTTGGTATATTTGGACTACAGTTAGGAAGAATGGGGAACAAAATGTATAGGTGAGAAGGAACGTATTTTAGGGGTTGTTTTCTTTCTCTCCAAATAACCTCATTCTAAGTAATGTTAGGGAAACCATATTGTGCAAAGAGGAAAGGAAGACCACTCAGGGAACCAGCAGGCCACCAGTATACTCAAATTACGTAGCTATTACTTATCTGGTCCTACCATTTTAGCACATGTATTTAGATAGGACAAGTGGGACTTGAAACAAGTATTGGTTTCCAATACTTCATTCCAGCCTCCCCTTTTCAGACATGTCTCTTCTGCTAATCATTATTCCATATCCCCACAACATGCTAAAGGAATCCCTGAGAATTCACCATGGCATCGCTGGCCTTGAATCTGCCTGGACACCCTCCAAATGTCTTGATCTCAACTCTCAGCAGTCTCCAGCCAGCATGACCATACCTGAGCATTCTGAGAATTGAAAACACCACACCTGGCAGGCTTGTCCTGGTTAAGAAAGACTGCCTCAATAGTCTGCATTCCAGTGCATCATTTCAAAGACAAAATACTATAAATTGTTTGGTGAAACGAAGATAAAGCCACTGGATTACTTGGACAGTAACACAGATACACTGGTGTTTTTTTAGGATTGAGGTTGCTATACTGAAATACTGAAGCAAATGATTAAAAAGGACACGTAGACTATGCTTTGTAGTTGTTTAAAAGCAGCAGTGTTCTTGAGAAAAGTAAATGGAAATGAAAAATACTTTTCCTTGTGTAGATTTTATTGTGATGTGGGGGAAAGGAAGAAAGGTCTAGAAGCAGAACTGGTAAAAAAAATGACAGTTGTTGATTAGCTATTAGCTGTTTTGGATTGAAATCGCTGAATCAACCTGGATATAAACCTTTCTACTCAGTATGTTATTTACTTTTATGCTCTTTTGGTGGTTCTTGGCTAAGTGTTGGTAGTGTATGTTGCTTTCAGCAATAATCAGCAGATGACCACAGTGTAGTTTTTTTTTCCCAGCCGGAAAAAAAAACCTACTGCTTCCTGGTAACAGTTACTGTAGCTTAAAAGAAAAAGAGTAATTCAGTTCTGTAATGTACAATTCTGGTTAGACTGGGGAAACTCTTGTCTAATTTACGTCTAATTCATATTTGTTCATAAATCTTATTGTGTGACCTTGGGGGAAGCCTTTTCTTCCCAGCCCAAACTACCTCATGAGGTTGGAAAGATAAAATGAAGTATGGCCCATGCAAGGAAGTTAAAGGAAAGGCAGACTATGACTGGAATAAGTAAATAAAAGTAATACATTCTGGTATTTGTTGGCCTCTGTTGGTCCTTATTCAGAGATTTGGTTTAAAAAAACCCAAGAGATCCTTTTATGTTCCTTGAGGATTAATATCTCCAAGGTTTGGCCTGAAGACACATTATGCTGTAACTTTACTGAAAATAATTTGGCTTAATAAGACCTCAGTGAAAAATTACCTGGAAGTTGCATTCCAATGAAGAAAAGGGGAAGAGGAGGATAATTGTTGCTATTATCAAATATTTTACTTGTTGGAATTTTCACGTATATGGTAATCACTGTTATATTTTACCAGATATAATTGCACTGGATTGAACTTTGGAAAAGTTGATGTGGGTCGCTACCCTGACGTCAGCACCAAGTAAGCCCTCGGCCTCTATACATATCTAGGATGGTTAGACAGACTAGAATGCCAGATATGTGAGCCAGATACTGCTGGCTGTGGAATTCTGGGAGTTGAAGTCCACATGCCTTAAAATTGTCAAGGTTGAGAAACACTGGTTTATGAGGCCAGAAAAGATTACCAACTTGATTAGACACTACTTTTTCAGAAATTATTCTTGGACTTCATTCATCTCTTCATAGGTACAAAATCAGCACCTCTCCTCTCACTAAGCAACTGCCTACACTGATCCTTTTCCAAGGTGGTAAAGAAGTGATGCGCCGGCCACAGATTGATAAAAAGGGACGAGCAGTTTCTTGGAACTTTTCTGAGGTATTCCTTTTAGCCATAATTGATAGTAAGCAAAGCTCCCTAGTAAAATGTCTGATAAATTACTAAATTATTGAAGCTGAGTTGTCGTCATATTGGGAGCTGGAGGCTGGCACAAAGCAACAGTCATATATCTTTCTCTTACAGGAGAATGTGATCCGGGAATTCAACTTGAATGAACTGTACCAGAAAGCCAAGAAAATATCCAAGCATGCAGATGAGAACTTTGAGGAATTTTCAGAACAGTCAGCTATCACAGAGCATCCTAACGGAGAAAGCAAGAAAGACAAATAATGCCTGTAAGACTGGACAACAATGCTCTTGCTGTTAAGCTCTCCATTTCTCTGTTTCCATCCTGACATTTCTCCTGGGATGTCATCCAAAGACTGCTTCCATCCAAAAGTGATGGTGCTGGGAGATGTGTATAATCACTAAGATACTTATCATCCTGGGCTCTGCTGTTGGCCATGGACCTCTACATTTTCTTATGTATTTTTGTTCCAAATTTTCTCTCCAAGAGTCACTACTGATATTTAAGTAATAGAAGCATCCAGAGAAAATCTTGGTGACCTCCTCAAGGAGAGTATCACCGTGGAATGCAGGTTGCTTCTCTGGGAATTAGTAGGAACTGCTAAGAAAAAACACTGTAATAGGAGGATACATCTATTTCTTGTTTTATCGATATGATTTCAATGGTAAAATTGGACAAACCCAAATCTCACATGAAATCAACTCCATTAATTCCTGAGGGTTCGCTCTGAGAAAGATATTGGCATTTCTGACCAGTTTCTGCTACCCTACCCTATTGCCCTATTATTATTGTGGTCATTGTTATTGTTATTAAGGAAGGTCTTGTGGTATCTTGTGGTCTTTTCTCTTTTTAGAACCTAATGGGCAATAGTAGAATATTTGCTGAATTTGAAATTGTGCCAGAAAACCAGTGGCTAATATACAGCTTTAAAAGATCTATCTTTTATAGTAACAGCTGGTAGCTTAGTGTGACTGTTTGACTTGGAGCAGCTGCTGTTTCTATCATCCATCTAATACTGCACAAAACAGGATTTAACTAATGTGGCAGATGTTTTGGGACTATATTGAAAGGAGTTCTTAGCCAGTGTGGCTATCTGGGTAGAGCAAAGGTTGGGCAAGTATTGTCCTAGTGTTTTTAGTTGCTGCACTCCGACAGAGGGCTTGCCTGTAAGTGAAAACACTGCAAATCAGCACGGTTCATCCATGTTCATGCTTCTGTTAATGGTATTGTACAGGTGCCTTTAATAAATCTGGGAGTGTTGTATTCCTGTGACTTTTTATTGATTAATTATATTGTTGGTGGGATTCCTGCCTTCATGGTTTGACTTTGGCTTATAAAAAAATACAGTCTTTTAATGTTTAAATCAATTTGCTCAAGGCTCAGCTCATTCTTTATGCAGCAGCATTTTCAGGCTTTCGCTTTTTCTCTTAGGGTACATTTTAGACCATATGCAGAAAGCAAATAATTTTCACAGTGGATGGGTTCACACAATTTACTAGGATGTGTGTGTGTGTGTGTGTGTGTGTGTGTGTGTGTGTATGTATGTATATCTCCTATTGTTTGTATTCTAAAGTGAAGCAGGCAGTAAAAAAAGGGACGGTGTTTTATTATTTATTTTAAAATATTTGTACCCCACCTCATTCCTAGCAGATTTTGCGTTATATTTTGTGTTAAAAGGATTAACTAAACCCTGGTTCTAATCCTCCATCTATTTAAATGAGAATTCCTGTGCAAGGATTAGTAGTAGTATGGGTTCTTCTGTATGGGTTCTAGACAGATGGAAATTCAGAAGTGTAACTGCTAATGTCCTCCTTGTTTTTAGAATATATAACAGTACAATTACAAAACTGTTCAGTGGCAAATGAAGATGTGTAACCTGGGCTCTAATGTTATTTTAACAGTGGCAAGGAGCAAGTCTTCTTCAACCACCCATCTCTTTTCTGGAGGAGACAAGCAGCATGTCTCTTGGCTCCAGAGGTAGGACTAGAATCAACTGATGAAAATAGCATGGTAGCAGATTTCAACTCAATGTTAGGAGAAACACTGCTTCCATAAACTAACAATACTCTTTGGAACAGAATTCCTCTGAAGTCTGTATTACCTCAACCCTATTATAATTTTTTTTAAAAATCTTGGACACCTGGCTTTTTCAACAGGACAGCTTCTGACCCTGCTTTCTGATCTATATTTTAAAGGGTATAACTGGTCTTTTTGTTTTTCTCAATATGAGCAATCCTATTATTAATTTGATTTTGATTTTGAATTTATATTCCACCATTATTATTTTTTAAACAACTTAAGGCAGCGAACAAATCCACCACCTCCTGTTTTCCTCACAACTACAATCCTTTGGGGTGAATTGGGCTGAGAGAGAATGACTGGCTCAAGGTCGCCCAGCTGGCTTTCCTGGCTAAGGCCTGACTTGATTTCTGTCTCCTGCTTTGTCATGTCTGTTTTTCAAAAGTTCTTAACAATTTATATCAGTGTTTCTCAACCTTGACCATTTTAAGGCATGTGGACTTCAACTCCCAGAATTCCACAGCCAGCAATGCTGGCTGTGGAATTCTGGGAGTTGAAGTCCACATGCCTTAAAATGGTCAAGATTGAGAAACACTGACATAAGCTAACCATGGTTGCAGCTGCAATTGAGCCTTATCAGTCAATTGCTGATTTCGTACATTAATTCTGGTTAGCGTGGTTAAGTTTATTGTATGAACTCGGCCAACAGCGGGAGAGATTTTCGCAGGAGGCCAATGACGTACTACTCTCCTTTGTTACGAGAGCTGGGCGGCATCTCCTACCGTATCGCAAGATTCTCCACGGAGCTGCAAGTTGGATTCAATTATTGTCTCTTGTGAAGCGGTGGGCGACACGGAAGAGCAGAAGATACGTCCGTGAATGAAGCAGAACAAGTGCGCAAACAAAAGATACTCAAAAGTTGACGGAAGAGCAGCGAAACGCTGACTTGTACCTACTTCTCTGCAAGCGCCAGTACAACCCACCGTGCGGCCCCTTTAACTGACATGCGCCGCTACCTGCCCCGCCCACCGGGATTCGGACTACTGCCTATCCAAAGGGGAGTCACCAGCTTTGCTACACCCACTTGCAGTAGACCTTGAAAACGCGCCCAGCTAACACAGTAACCCTTCGAAAGCGAGCCGTGATTTAGAATAGAATAGAATAGAATAGAATAGAATAGAAACCTTGGAGGTCTTCTAGTCCAGCCCCCTGCTCAAGCAGGAGAACCTGCCACCAGAATTGATTGCTACGGAACGTCACTCAAACCGCCCCGTTTCATGCGGACGGTGACGGGCGGCCGCCATCTTAGGAAAGTCTGGCGCGCGAGATTGCTGGGGCTTCGTCGCAGCAGCTTTGGAAGGTGAGACGGGAAGGCTCTTCCCTGTATTTGGCCTTGGGGGGTTGCTTGTCTGCCTTTTGCGGGTTTATCGTTAATGCACCCAATTCAATTCCAGTCAGCGCTAATGGTTGAAGGGGGGGGGGACATTTCCTTTCTTGAGCATAAGCTGCCCCACCATGTTACTGTCTGTAACAAAAAAAGCAGGCAAGGTTGCTTCGCGTCTTGAAAACCCGGAGTTGCTCTCTCATTGGGCGTATTCTCTGGCTTTTCAGCCTCAGTTTAATCTCTTTCCCGCAACTCCAGAGCCGCGATGTTTTAATGCTTAAATGTCTAAATCAGGGGTAGTCAACCTTGGCTCTTTTATGACTCGTGGACTTCAACTCCCAGAATTCCTGAGCCAGCTAAGCTGGCTCAGGAATTCTGGGAGTTGAAGTCCACGAGTCATAAAAGAGCCAAGGTTGACTACCCCTGGTCTAAATGGTTTTCTTGGCAAACTTCTCTGTGGTTCTTTCTTCTGCCTTCTCCAACCAGGGTTTTTGGACTGATTCTGTTCTGCGTTTATTTGATCGTTATTGCCATTTCTTTTTAGCGTTACCAAAGATTCTGTTTCGGTCGTTATCCGTTGCATTTATATCCCTCCACCCTTTTCTCCCAACGCTCAGCATCTCATCAAGTGAGCCCCGTAGCTGAACGGGAATTTGAACCCTACACTGGGTCTTCTTTGGTTATAAATTGATTAAATAAACCATGATCCTTTATCTTTATTATCTTTTTTTGCTTTTCTTTCTTTTTTGATGAAAAGCTTGTAGGTAACCACACACACAAACCCGTATTCTCTAATATGCTCTTTGCTAAAAAATTAGTGATGTTTTTTTTACTACAGGTAATCCTCGACTTATGACCACATTTTTTGTTGCCAAGTGAAACATTTGTTAACTGAATTTTGCTCCATTTTACGACCTTTTATGCCACAGTTGTTAAGTGAATCGCTGCAGTTAGTATCAGGGTTGTTAAGTGAATCTGGCTTCCTAATTGACTTTGCTTGTAAGAAGATGACAGAAGATTATCGTATGATCCCAGGACACCGCAACTGTCATGAATATGAGTCAGTTGCCAAGCATCTGAATTTTGATCATGTGACTATGGGGATACTGCAACAGTCATGTGAAAAATGGTCATAAGTCACTTTTTTCAGTGGGGTTGTAACTTTGAACAATCACTAAATGATCTGTTGTAATCAAAGACTACCTGTACAATACTGACTTCCAAAGATATTTTAGTCATCCTGTAATGGCATCCGGATGTAATCCATCAAAATACACTTTGATAGGACTATTGAAAATCCTGGACCATTGCAGCCAGTGGTTTGGAGATAACTCATTCCCTCATTTTCTCCCAGTGTGTTAAAGACAGTTCCATATTTTTCAGCTAGCCTGAAAAGTTACATTTCAAATATCTGAAGGGCTTTGGCTGGGAATTGCATCTGACAGTATTAACTAAGTGAGAAGTCACATCCATTAATAGAAGAGCAATTCCAGGCTTCCCATGGCATATTGGGGGGGGAGGGAAGGGTAGATTTTCTGGAGTTTTAAAGACCTCTGAGCATATATTAATCCCCACTATAGTTGATGCTGGTGAGCCCTGGCCACACTTTTTGCATTTCTGAGCTCAATAAATCAAGGATGCTTGGCTTGATTTACCTTCACCTTCGCTCATGAGCGAAGCTATTCATCACCTAGAAATCAGAGCCATAGAACCAGTACCGGCGGGACAACTCGGAAGGGGGTTCTACTCCATCCTTTTCGTTGTCCCAAAGGCTTCGGGAGGAATGGGCAAAGGTGATATTAATTGCTCCACACTGGCCGAGATGACCGTGGTTTGCCGACCTCGTGAGCCTTTCCATCTCTCCGCAGTGGAGGATTCCTCCAGATTGTGTGGCACTCAGGGGGCTCTACAGTACCCGGACCCTCAGTGGCTCCAATTAGCCGCCTGGCACTTGAACGGCGCTCCTGACACGAGAGTCCTATCTGGTGGGCGTTATCTCCATGATTCAGGCTTCCAGACGTCCCTCAACCAACAGGATCTACGACTCCTCGTGGAAGAACTTTTGCCACTGGTGCACAAGGAAGCACCTCGATCTCTCGACCATCACCATCCCGAAAATCCTTGAGTATTTATTGGAGGGCTCAACAAGGGCTTGGCATGCAATACCATCCCCAGGCAGGTGGCAGCTCTATCTACGGTGCTTACATGTGACAATTCAATGCCTTTGGCTCAGCACCCCATGGAGCGGGCCTTTATCAAGGGCGCGACTAACACCAAGCCACCCATGGTTCACCGTTATCCCTCTTGGAAACTCCCGCAGGTCTTGCAGGCCCTAACCTTGCCACCGTTTGAGCCCATCAAGACATGTTCACTACAGTTCTTAACCATGAAAATAGCCTTCCTCATAGCCGTCACGTCGGCCAGATACATCTCGGAACTAGCTGCTCTCTCTGTCAGAGAGGACCTATGCGTCTTTCACAATGACAGGGTGGTCCTTCGACTGGATCCATCTTTCATATCGAAAGTAAATTCTTTGTTCCACAAATCACAGGAGGTGATTCTCCCAAATTTTTGTCTTCGACCATCTCATGTGTTAGCGCGCCAATGGCACACCTTGGACGTTCGAAGGGCGTTGCGCCATTACCTCAAGTGGACTTCAGCCTTTTGCAAGTCAGAAGCGCTCTTTATTTCCTTTCAGCCCTCTTCCATGGGGCAGAAGGTCTCGTCATCAACGATAGGCAGGTGGATCAAAGCATGCATTGCAAGAGCGTACCAGTCGCATTCCCTGTCAGTTCCAAGCCATATCACCACTCACTCCACCTGCAGCACTGCAACATCAGCAGCGTGGTCATCACAGGCATCCATTGGAGATATTTGTAGGGCGGCAACCTGGTCCTCACCTTCCCCATTCGTGAGGCGTTACAAGCTGGATAGATTTGCCTCCACGGAAGCTTCATTCGGCCGGAGAGTGCTCCAGCAAGTGGTGCCATCAAGTGGGACACAGGCCCAGACCGATTCCCTCCCATAGGGACAGGGTAGCGTTGGTATGTCCCATTCGTAGATTCTCCATCCTCATGCTGGAGAAGGGACGTTGTCTTACCTGAACGCCTTTTCTCAGCATGATGATGAAGAATCGTCACCCACCCCTTTAGGTCCGTCAGGGGCTGTGTTAGGGGTAAGGGAGCCAACACATTGGACTACCGTCAATGGCTTGGCCTTTGTCGTGTCTGGGAGGTACTAAGGCCCAGCAGGAGGCGTGGCTACTTTATCAGACTTAGTCTAATTGGGCAGGAAGACAGTCAAAACCCATTCGTGGATTCTCCATCATCATGCTGAGAAAAGGCATTCAGGTAAGACAACACCCCTTCTATCTTTTCCTCTTCCTATAGCATAATAGATTAGCATTCTCTAAGCCTTCTTTCTTTGGTGTGTCCTTCCCAGAAAAATCTGCTACCTATACTGAGATCTGTAATCCAAAAATACAAATGTAATATTCTTTCTTGCCTTCATTTGTAGAATGCCTCCCAAAGGGCGGAAAAGGAAGGCAGCGATCCCTCAAGCAGAAGCCACAGCATCCAGTGGAGAGGGAGCCAATGATGTGAAGAAATTGCCCAAGATTCGGAAGAATAAAGGACATGAAGACCTTCATGAAGCCGGGCTGGGGGAAGGTCCACCTCTCAATCAGGGGCCAAGCCCCCAATGGGTGGCCACTTCCCCCAGGGCCCAATCGGCTCCAGAGGCCACGTTCACACCAACAGCGGCCAGACTTCGTTCTACTGAACCTCAAGGGGTGGGACTAGAGCAGCTGCAGGCGGTATTCGTTCAAGCGATGGCCTTGGGAATGGCCTTCTCGTTCAGCCAGAGGAACAGACCAGAATTCATGACACCCACGACTCCTTCTCACTACCGGGCGGAAGCCCCGGGATATCTTGAATCTGTCTCGTCCAATCACTCCTCTCAGGACAGAGACTCAGGTCCTGAGGAGTCGGCTCCAGACCCCTCTCCCTTTGTCAGGCTGTTCGACCCAGGGTGGTTTAAGTCACTTCTATTGAAGGCAACTACCTCGGCCAAAATTTGCCCTGATCAGGAGCCGCAACTGGTTCCTTCCACCAGCCAGGACTCAAAGCCCCTTTTCTCTGAGCCCACGATTACAGAAAGACATATCCCTTGTCCTCCCTTCTTCCTGAACACCATTCAAAAGCAATGGGGGACTCCGGGCACCTTCCCATCACTGGGGGGAACAGACAAAATGTTATTTAATGTCGCCCCGGCCTTGTCAGAGCTCTTGGAAGTCCCGACCGTTGATGAATCGCTAACACCAATGTTTTCCTCTTCCACTGTGTCAGGGCACATGGCTGAGGCCTTAAAAGCAGAGCACAGAAAATTTGAGTTTTCCTTATGCAGGTCTCACGAAGCTTCGGCATGGTCGGTGAAGGCATCCACATCCACCTCCTTCTTTGCCAGGACTTCCATTATATGGCTTCGAGAGCTCCAAGCCATGATTCCCCCAGACCAGGTTCGTGTTCACCAGCATCTGGGTAAGTTGATGGCCACATCGGAATACATGGCGGACGCATCACTACATGCTGCCAGATTTTCATCCCAAGCCATAGCCTCTAACGTCACAGCCCGCAGGCTCCTATGGCTCAAGCAATGGTGGGTGGACTTAAAATCAAAGTGGCAACTGGCAACCGCCCCCTATCATGGCAGGCAACTATTTGGAGAGGCGCTCAAACCGTACCTGGTGAAAAAGAGGGACAAGCGTAAGGTGTTGGCCCACCTCAACAGAAGGGCGGACAGGCGGTCCAATCCATACTCCCATAGGCCGCTGTTTCGTTCAGGATCAGCGTGGGCTCAGCCTCCTCGCCCTTTTCCCTCCAGACCTGACTGTCAATCGGAGCGTCCCGCCCCAAGGCCTCAACAGCAATTCCAGGCCAAGCGGCCCTTTCAGGGCACGGGAGGCCATCCTTTCAAAAGAAACAAGTGACTCCAGGATGGCCCTCCCCATAAGGGGCAAACTCTCCTTTTTCATTCACAAATGGGAGGCCGCCACCACAGACGCCTGGGTGCTCAACACCATCAGGGGTGGCCTCCCACTCGAGTTTGCCTCCCATCCCCCAGAACAATTCATTTCTTGCCCAATTCCCAGAAATCCGGTCAAAGTAGGGCTCATGGGCGAAGCTATTCATCACTTTCTAGAAATCAGAGCCATAGAACCAGTACCGGCGGGACAACTCGGAAGGGGGTTCTACTCCATCCTTTTCGTTGTCCCAAAGGCTTCAGGAGGATGGAGAGCAATACTAGACCTGAAGGGACTAAACTCATCTCGTCTAGAAAAAGTTCAAGATGCAGACACTTCAGTCCATTCTGGCCAGCGTCAGAAGGCGCAATCTCCTAACATCTATCGACCTCATGGAAGCGTACCTTCACGTCCCCATCCTCCCCGACCATCGAAGGTTCCTCAGGTTCTGCTACGCGAACCATCATTACCAATACAAGGCTCTACCATTCGGTCTTGCGTCCACTCCAAGAGTATTTACAAAGATCTTGGCAGCCCTGGCCGCTCACCTAAGACTGGTCCCAGTAAGGATCCAATGTTACCTGGACGACATCCTCATCCAGTCCACCTCCTTACAGAGGGCTCGGTCAGACCTGGCCTTGTCCATCAGGACCCTTCAAGACCACAGGTTCTCGGTGAATTTCCAAAAGAGCCAGACATAACCTTCAACTCTCCTCCTTCACCTAGGCGCGATCATAGACACCAATCTGCAAGGTCTATTTGTTGCCAGAACATCGGGACAGCATCCGGGTCCTGATCAGGCAGGTACGAAGGGAGCGTGTGGTCACATTGGCCACACTTTCCCAACTGTTAGGAAAGATGGTCTCTTGTATGGGGATAGTGCCATGGGCCAGGCTTCACTCCAGAACCCTCCAATGGTTCTTGCTCCCATTTCAGAGACAGGGCACCAGCTCCTCCAACCAGAGGGTCTTTGTTCCACCTCATACCTAGAGTCCCTTCAGTGGTGGACCTCCCCAGCGATAGCCAAAGGCTCTCTATTCAGGGAACCAGCCAGGTTTATCCTAACGACGGACGCCAGTCTGTTCGGCTGGGGGGGCACACCTACACTCACAGTTAGCTCAGGGCCGATGGTCACAGTCGGACTTCAAACACAACATAAACTGGCTAGAGCTCAGAGCCATACATCTGGCATTACGCCACTTCAGCGACAGAGTGGCGGGACAACATGTCCTAGTGCTCACAGACAATGTGGCAGCGAAAGCCCATGTGAACCAGCAGGGGGGTACTCGGTCCAGGTCCCTCATGAACGAGGCCCAGCTGCTGCATACTTGGGCAGAAACCAACCTCTCCTCCCTCAAAGCAAAGCACATATCGGGAGAGGCAAACCAGCAGGCGGACTTCTTGAACAGGTCAACAGTGGATCACTCAGAGTGGCGCCTGCATCCCGATCTATTCAGAGAGATCTCGGAGAGGTTTGGACTTCCAGTGCTGGACCTGTTCGCCTCCCCAGCAAAAGCCCAACTCCTGAGGTTTTTATCCCGGTTCCCATCTCCAGGGGCGGAGCAGGCCCTGTTCTATGCCTTTCCCCCTCTCCCTTTGCTCCAGGCCATCATTCGGAAGATACTCCGTCATTCCGCTCCCACAGAGAGGGCCTCCTTAGGGTGCCGTCGGTCAGTCAATACCGGCTGGCGACCTCCAGGGGGAGAGCCTTCTCTGTGGCAGCTCCTGCCCTCTGGAATGACCTACCCCCCGACCTATGTACAGTTGTGGACCTGCGCCTTTTTCGCCGAGCCCTGAAAACCCATCTATTCCGGGCGGCCGGCCTGGCGTAACTTTAATTATGTTTTAGTAAAGGTTTTATATAGGGTATTTTAGAGCAGGCCTTTTATTTAATTTGATTTTAGAATAGAAATTTGAGTATATTTATTGTGATTTTTATCATCGCCTGTCCACCGCCCTGAGTCCCGTGAGGGAGATAGAGCGGTATACAAATTCAAATAAATAAAATAAATAAATAAATACTACAGGAACGGGCAGAGGTGATATTAATTGCTCCACACTGACCGAGATGACCGTAGTTTGCTGACCTCGTGAGCCTTTCCATCTCTCCGCAGTGGAGGATTCCTTCAGATTGTGTGGCACTCAGCCAGGGGGCTCTACAGCATCCAGACCCTCAGTGGTTCCAGTTAGCCGCCTGGCACTTGAACGGCGCTCCTGACACGAGAGTCCTATCTGGCGGGCGTTATCTCCATGATTCAGGCTTCTAGACGTCCCTCAACCAACAGGATCTATGACTCCTCGTGGAAGAACTTTTGCCACTGGTGCACAAGGAAGCACTTCGATCTCTCGACCATCACCATCCCGAAAATCCTTGAGTATTTATTGGAGGGCTCAACAAGGGCTTGGCACCCAATACCATCCGCAGGCAGGTGGCGGCTCTATCCACGGTGCTTACATGTGACAATTCAACGCCATTGGCTCAGCACCCCATGGTGCGGGCCCTTATCAAGGGCGCAACTAACACCAAGCCACCCGTGGTTTACCGTTATCCCTCTTGGAAACTCCCGCGGGTCTTGCAGGCCCTAACCTCGCCACCGTTTGAGCCCATCAAGACATGTTCACTACGGTTCTTAACCATGAAAATAGCCTTCCTCATAGCCGTCACATCGGCCAGACGCATCTCGGAACTAGTTGCTCTCTCTGTCAGAGAGGACCTATGCGTCTTTCACAATGACAGGGTAGTCCTTCGACTGGATCCATCTTTCATACCGAAAGTAAATTCTTTGTTCCACAGATCACAGGAGGTGATCCTCCCAAATTTTTGTCCTCGACCATCTCGTGTTAGAACGCCAATGGCACACCTTGGGACGTTCGAAGGGCGTTGTGCCATTACCTCAAGCGGACTTCAGCCTTTTGCAAGTCAGAAGCGCTCTTTATTTCCTTTCAGCCTTCTTCCATGGGGCAGAAGGTCTCGTCATCAACAATAGGCAGGTGGATCAAAGCATGCATTGCAAGAGCGTACCAGTCGCATTCCCTGTCAGTTCCAAGCCATATCACCGCTCACTCCACCTGCAGCGCTGCAACATCAGCAGCGTGGGTATCACAGGCATCCATTGGAGATATTTGTAGGGCGGCAACCTGGTCCTCACCTTCCCCATTTGTGAGGCATTATAAGCTGGATTGATTCGCCTCCACGGAAGCTTCATTCGGCCGGAGAGTGCTCCAGCAAGTGGTGCCATCAAGTGGGACACAGGCCCAGACCGATTTCCCTCCCATAGGGACAGGGTAGCTTTGGTATGTCCCATTCGTGGATTCTCCATCCTCATGCTGGAGAAGGGGCGTTGTCTTACTTGAACGCCTTTTCTCAGCATGATGATGGAGAATCCACACCCACCCCTTTAGGTCCGTCAGGGCCTGTGTTATGGGTAAAGGAGCCAACATATTGGACTACCGTCAATGGCTTGGCCTTCGTCGTGTCTGGGAGGTACTAAGGCCCAGCAGGAGGCGTGGCTACTTTATCAGACTTAGTCTAATTGGGCAGGAAGACAGCAAAACCCATTCGTGGATTCTCCATCATCATGCTGAGAAAAGGTGTTCAGGTAAGACAACGCACCTTCTATCTATTCCTCTTTTCCTCTTCCTATAGCATAATAGATTAGCTTTTTCTAAGCCTTCTTTCTTTGGTGTGTCCTTCCCAGAAAAATCTGCTACATATACTGAGATCTGTGATCCAAAAATACAAATGTAATATTCTTTCTTCTTGCCTTCATTTGTAGAATGCCTCCCAAGGGGCGGAAAAGGAAGGCAGCGATCCCTCAAGCAGAAGCCACAGCATCCAGTGGAGAGGGAGCCAATGATGTGAAGAAATTGCCCAAGATTCGGAAGAATGAAGGACCTGGAGACCTTCATGTGACGATTGAGCACTGGTAAAAGAACCTTGACACATTGCCTACATATTGAGAGGGATCAATCAGATATCTTGCTTCAGAATAACTTTTTTTCCTCATTCTGCAAATGATTATTGGACCTGTGATAGGTGTTTAGTAACAAAAATTAATAATGTGAATTTTAATTGATTGTGTTTGCCGTGAAAAATAAGTTTTGTGAAGATGGGTTGATATTTCATTTCTTTTTAAATTGATGCATATATGCCCTAACAGTTGCTTAGAGCTTCCTTCTCTTTGGTGTTCCAGGAATTCTAGAAATCGAAGCATCGATAGATCTGGAGATTCCTGACTGGAAATGTTTTAGATTCATGTCCCCCAAATTTGGAAAGAATCCCATTTGTTCTTAAAAGTACAGTAAATATATTAAACAGCTTTAAAAATAAATTCTGCTGACCACTCAAATAGAAATCCATTTTAATTCAGGAGTTCTTTAACGTTTTGAGATTACAGAACTTGTTAATTTAAAAATTCTGGAATCCTGATCAAAAGGGAAAGCTCTAAAATAGAAAATTATTTCGAGTTCAAGGGTTTTCTTTTCCTTTTTGCTATTAGTTTTTCAGAGAACCCCATCAAGTTCTCATGGAACTTTAGAATTCTACAAAACACAGGTTTTTGTAAACAAAACAAAACGCTTTAATTGATTTAACCTTGTACCCTGCATGGAATCTGTTTTTAATCTAATATTTTATTGTAATATCAGGCCTCAGTGCAATGAACCTTTCATGCAGTGGACCAAATTGCTGCAGCTATTGCTATTTTGTTTAGTTTAATGGACATGTGTGTATAATAGACAACTATGCCCACCTCCAAATAAAATGTTAAAGTGAACTTTTTGTTACAAAATAAAAAGAGAAAGATTAGATGGACTGTTAAATATGGTGGGAACCTAGTTCTTTTTAAGTTCCACAGGGACTTTCAAATAATAGTTCATATTCACTCTATAGTATTAAAATGTTTTTCCCTCTTTTTTTTCAATACTGACAGTAAAAGCTGACGAGTCTTTGGACGTAGAGCTGAGGCTGTCAGCCAAGAGCTGGGCCTGGCCTTTCCTGACATCCTTGTGGAGGTCAACCTTGAAAAGCCCCGGAGAAATAGCTTTGAAGTGGTTCTCTTGAAAAAAGATGGCACCAGTGAGTTATTCTGTTGCTTATGGGAATGGGATGGATGAGACTGTGTTGGATTTGTAATCTCGATGCTAACCATTGCTTAGTTCAGTCTATTGAATATACTGCAATTGGTTTATTAAATTAAGTCAATTTCCGAGGTTTCCATGTTAAAAGCCATGCCAGTTAGTATTGCTGAGTTTGCCCTACAACATACTTGACTACAAGTAGCACAGTTCATGAATGAAACCTGTGATCAACTTCTCAGGAATTGTTCCATTTACTTGGACGATGTTACAGAATGGGCTTAATTATGTGCCATCAAGTTGTGTAAACTCTTGGTGACCTCACTGATAGATTTTCTCCATGATACTCTGTCCCCCATCTGGCCCTTCAGATCTTTCAAAGGTACAGATCGTCTTCTTTCTCTTTCCTTCCACCTTTCATAGCTTTATAGACTTCTCTAGAGTTAAGTTTTTTTATAATGTGTCCACATTTTTCTAATTTGAACTTGATTATTTGTTTTATGATCTATTTGTTTAACATGGCATTTGATAATCATGGCACTCTTGAGTTTTCTCCAACACCAAAGTTCAAAAGCCTCAGTACTCTTTCTATCCTACTTCTTTAAAGTCCAAATTTTGTTTCTATGGAGTGTCACAGGGGAAAACCTCTGTCTGTTGTATCTATTATTTTGTACCTATATGCTTTGATCTTCCTATTCAATATTAGTCCCATATTTTCAGTGTTTATGACTTTTTATTATAATAGTGCTACAATATGTACATTTCACAGTATGGATGTGAAAGTGGGTATTGAAGCATAGCACCAGACTACCCGCTATCAGCAACATAACATCCACAATGTCAGTGTGCTGCTTCTCTAAAAAAGCACTCTTTCATTCCCCTAAAATAGCCAAGAGACAAGATTTTCTATGAGAGCAGCAAAATATTGCACAATATTTTATGGTGTATTCCTGAAATCTCATGAGAGTTGCATTGAGTTACTCAGATCTTATATAAATGTGATGCCCAGACGTAAAGAGATGATGCAGTAGAATAAAAGTTACAGCCTAGAAAGATATGTTAACTTTGTTCTGCTTCATCATATCTTATGTCTGGACATTATTGTGTAATGCAGTTTTGAAATGAGAAATAGCAGACTCTTCCAGTTAATACCATGTTTTCCCTTAAATAATTACACCTGTTAACTGTGTTCCCTATGATACTGACTACAGAATGAACAGGAAATGCAAAGTGGCTAAAAACATGTACTGTGTCTTCAAGACAGGAGATTGATGAGTGCACTAATCATGCCCTATCTTGTCACTCTCTACATATATAGCGAGTGCCTTTCTCCATGAAGATGCTCCATATAGTGTTCAAGAAAAAATTGGAAAATGGAGATTCTCAAATGGTGGTGAATTTCCACAGCTAAGGAGATGGTTTGTTGCAGGGGTTCACTTTAAAAAAAAACATGGAAGAGAACAAGAATGCAGATGGAAGTGAAACTACGTAGTATGAACAGAACAAGATGTCCCAAGCATACTACTCTGGGAATAAGAGCTGAATTTAATGAGATTTGCTATAGAATAAACAAGCTTAGGTTTGTTTGTTTGTTCAATTTCTATAGCCACCCATCTCAATAACTGGGCAGCTTACAATAAAAAAAAATACGATTAAAATAATAATGTTTTAAAACGATGAAAACTATAAAAATCATCCAAAATATATAGAGAGAGAGCAGCTGCGATACTTGGCCAGTTAACAAATAAGCCAGGAAACTATGTCTTTACCACATTCAGCATAGACAGGCTTTTAGAGCTTTACGAAAGGTCTAATAGTTTTGAGGCCATTCTAATCTCCCAAGAGGAAGATATTTCACAGGGCAGGGTCTACTACAGAAAAGGCCTGTTTTCTACTCCTTGCCAGCCAAAACTCTTTGGCTGACGGGATGTGCAACATACTCGGTCTGTTAGATTGAATTGGACAGGTAGAGACTCTTGAAAAAGGCGGTCCCTCAGGTAACCCAGTCCCAAGCCAGGTAGGGCTTTTAAAGGTGACAACCAGCACCTTGACTTGTACCCGGAAACATACAGGTAACCAATGCAGCTCTTCCAGTACTAGTGTTATGTGTACTATATCTGGCACCATTTACTACCTGCACCAGCTGAAATTTCTGAATGCTCTTCAGAGGCATCCCCGTGTAGACTGTGTTGCAGTAGTCTTAATGAGAGGTTACAAGGGCATGAGTCACTGAGCAGGGCCTTCCGGTCCAGGATTAGGCATAACTGACACACTTCCCAAGGTGTGCAAAGGTTCTCTTAGCTATGGCTGCCACCTTTGAGCAGGAGCTGTGAGTCTAGGAGGACCCCCCAGATTGCACACAGGGCCTGTCAAAGGTACTGCAATCCCATCCAGGACTAAAGATGGAAGAACCTTATCTCTGGAAGGTCCAAATACCCACTGCCACTCTGTCTTGCTAGGGTTGAGTGGGAGTTCATTTCACCCCATCTGGTCCCCAACAGCCACCAGACACTGGGGTAGGGCATCAACAGCATTACTCGAGAAGCATGGGGTAGATATATAAAGCTGCATGTCGTCTGCATATTGATATCTCACTGAAACCAGTGAATCATCTCGCCCAGCAACCTCATTTACTTGTTAAGTAGAAGGAGAGAGAAAGAACCAGATTCTGGGCACCCTACAAAGTACCCCTACTTTGGGCTGGATCTCTCCTTCTATCAACACCAACTGGAACAAGTCCCAGAGAAAGGAGGAAAACCATCACAGTACAGTGTTCCCCGCACCCAGTTCTTGAAACTGGCTGTAAAGGATACCATGATTGATGGTACTGAACACCACTGAGAGGTCAAAAAGAGCCAGGATGGGTGCACACCCTCCATCCTGATCCTGCCAGAGGCCATTTAAGATCATTTTCCTTTCAACTGATAAATGTTGTATTTCAGACATGAAAAATGGAGGTGATGTAATGAATATGTTATTCATTATAATGAATGGCTATGCCACATTTTCATATGGGTCTGGTTTATTTTGCTTACAAGTACCTTCAGTTCTTTTTATGAGCTCTATTGTGGAAGCATTCACTTTTTTTCATTATACAAATCTTTCTCTTCACTCTGTCCCACAAACACAGCACCAAGCTTGAACATCAAGCTTCTGCCCAGCTTGGCAGAAAAAAATGAGGTAGTTTAGAGATGAACAGTGTCTGGCTGCAAGTAGCCCCATTTCTTTTGAAGGTAATTAGTTGATCAGCAAATTCAGTTCTGTTTACACACCATGTTTACCACATACTTGGCAGTATGTATGGGATGTACTGACATTGTATAATCCAAGTACTGCTGGTGATTGCCTTTTGTGTTAATTATTTTTAGAGATAGAGTTATGGAGTGGTCTTAAAAAGGGGCCACCCCGCAAACTGAAATTCCCAGAACCCAGCAACATCGTTGAAATGGTGAAGTGCAACTTAAACTAAAGTCAACAGTGATGGAATAGGAGCGAAGTGTAAGTTCACATCCAGAATGGCTGGTGTGTGTGTATGTGTGTTGAAGTGTCTCTGCAAACACCCTAGTTTTGATCACGTGACTACGGGGCACTGCAGCAGCCATAACTTCAGGCACTAGTCATAACTCTCTTTGTTCAGTGCCACCATAATTTTGAAGGGTTAATGAATGGTCATTACATCGAGGATTGCCTCAAGACAAATAAAATGTCTTGAACCCTGTGCCAATCAACTGGCTCTTGTATAATATTTGAACAAATGTACTTGGAGATCATTGATCACAATACCTAAAATGAGTCATAGTTTACATCTCTGGAACCTTAAATTCTATATACTGTGGGAACATCTCTTAGGGTTGTACCATGGATAGCCATGTGCATCTGTACTGCGTGGTTTAGAAATGTAATTAAAACCATTGTACACCTGGTAGTTGTAAGTGATGCTGTGAACTGGGGAGTAGGAGCTGTGCCTAAAAGCCATCTTTTGTTTTCTGCAGCCTCTACGACTGTCCGTTTGTCCTGTGAGCTGGAGCATTTATGATGAGATATGATGAAGTGGGGTAAACTCTGGTCATATCTCTGAAGCTGCTGCTCCTTCTTTGCAAGGAAGAATGGACCAGATGTCATCCTTTCCTGACCCACCATCTTTTCAAATGTTTGTTACTCCTGGGAACATTTTGGGGAAGAACTTTATTTTCAATAAAGCTTAACCGCCTTCCTCTATTTCTCGTTCAGTTCTGTCCTGTGAAATAAAGGTGTCATGAGATTCTGTCATGGCATAGTTTAGATTGATCCAGTTTTGTGAATTAAAGTTGCACATCTGTATTCACATGCCATTTCACCTGCTGAAGTGTTACTGTAACTTGCCCTCCCAAGCATATGCATGACTTCTGAAAACGTATTTTTCTTTTACTATTGTACTTGTATCCCTATGCTACCATGCTAATTTTTATCCTCTATTTTTTCCTCCAATAAAAACCTAAATATATGCTTGTTTGCTAGTGGTATTTTAGAAGTTGTACTTAAAATCTCTACAGTATTTGGTCCCTCTAGAATTGAATGAAATCCAAAGCTATTTAGGATTGTGTTGGCCGAGAAAAGGGAAGAATTCTTCACAACTACTTGTTTTACTTCACCTTTCCCTTAACTCCAGGGTCATGACAGTATAATGAATCCTGAAAACCCAAGTTTCTTCTGCATTGTTTTGGGTTTTTTTGTTTTTTTTTTAATTGACTAAGGAATGAGAGCCAAGTTGGAATATCCAAACCATTCTGCTGGAGGCCATAAATTGCTAATTACAATCTTTAAACCTATTTTTCTCTTCTGATTAAAGAAGCAATGGCTACTAGTTTTCATTTTTCTCTTTTCCTTTTATTTATACTATTATATTACTAGTAGCAGTCTTCCTCAGCCTTTGAAGTTTTAATATTTAATCATTTAATCCACACGCTTTCCCCTATGCACAAAATACCTGCTCAAGATAGTTAACTTTACTGTTAACTTCTAGCTTATTATGCTGACTTTATCAATCTTCCCTATTCTTGCCCAACAATTTGTATTATTTGTGTGTATTCATTGTTTTATTTCCTTTAGCCATAATTAACTCCACAAGATGCCTTCAGTGGAAATATGATACAAAGCACCAAGAAAACCTAGAATTTTTATTTGAACAAGTTACAACTCAATATTTATTCCAGTCTTTGTGCTATCTACTCTTCAGAATGATCTGCATACATGAAGAGCTTTGGGCTGTGAGAGAAGGAAGTATCTGGCACAGCTTCGTGGAGGTATAGGTCACTGCACTTGAATACACTTCTCTGTGAAGAAGCTGCAAACACAAGGGAGATGGTTTCAATGAAAAACAAGCAACTTGGGCAATTATTCTCAAGCCTCTAGGGAGCCGTCTCTTTTTTTAAAATACAGAAAGTCAGCAAGGCACTTAGTTCCCTCTGTATCAGTGTTTAAATGGTGCAGGCCACTTATCAGGAGAAAAATCAGCTCAATTCATGCAGGCCATCCGGCTAAAAGTAGCAGGAGAAAAGGGTGCTGCTTCCAGCAACGTACTGGTTTTAAGAAGAGAGAATTGACATATACAGCAAAGCATCTACTGCTGCAAGTGCTGTTGAGTTGGTACTCTGTGATCTCCAGTAACAGAAATATAACAGCGAGATCAGCAGATTCTCTGCTGGTCTTCCTAGTTCCAATCTGACCTTTAAACAAAATAAAAAATGAAGCATTGAGCTGACAAGAGCCGGTACAAAGAGGGCAGTTCTTATCCTCTTGCCAAGTCCTTTATGTTGCCTTTGAACTCCTAACTCAAGGTAGTAGGTCCCAGCTTGGGACAAAACAATCATCCTAACAGCAATGAATTTTATTTCCAAGTTTGGTTAATTCACTAGCCATTAAGTAAAACGTTTAAAAAATATTAAAGGGAAGCACAGAACTTAAAACAGTTGAGAACAACACTGTTTCACAAAAGAGCTCTTCCCAGAAAACATAATTTTGTCCTCACGCTTTAAACACCAACTGGCATTTTAAAATCTTGTGTTTACTATAAGACAATTACACTATGATCTATAAAGGAAATTAAATAGAACACACTTGTGTAAAATTATTACCAGCCCCAAGATGTCTTTCAACATAAAACGTTATTACTTTTCACAGAAGTAATGCTGTAGATTTCCTGTAGGTTACCTATCCCACAATAGACCAAAAGAACCCCGACATCCTGGAAGGGTGGCCTGTACGCAAAGAATAAATTATATCAATGTCATGGTCATGATTAAAGGAGGCTGATAATTGGTGATAATGAAGCAGCCTCTCCCCAGCTTGATTTTAAAGGGGGCTTTTCCATCATCTGATCAAAATACTCAAAAAACATTATGGAATCTATTAATTGCTTTTTGTGGCATGGAATTTTAAGTACAATACTATCTGCTAGCCCACCTCACCGTCAAAGTAATTTCTTGCCACTACTTGCACTCACTAGTTCAGAACATCCACTTCAGTTTCAGATATAGGAGAAGGATCTGGCCGGACACATTCAATATTAAGAAAGAGGTCCTCTACCCCACCAACGTCTATGGTTTCTTCTTCTAGGCTGTCTAAGAAAGATGGCGGCTTGCAGTCCAAGTTGTGTTGCACAGGGTTGCTCAGAACAGCTTCAGTAAGTGGCTTTGTTTCTGTATCTGAGATTCCCATATCATAAGTTAGAGGTCCTTGGTCCTCATCACCTGTCCAAGTGACAGGCAAAGGCTCAGCAACTTTTGCAGTACCATTTGTAGATTCAGACAGCTGACACTGAGCCGTTGCCCAATCCCACAATTCGGGAGAGGCTGATCTGGACAAGGAAAGGTGCTCACCATTAGGCTCAGGTTTTACAAGAGGAAGACAGTTACGGGCGGGGTCCAACAAAGAGCTCCCATTTGTTGAGTCACAAGCTTCAGTAATTTTTATCTCGTCCAACTGTGGACCTACTGTACAACATCTCTCTTTTTCTTCTATTTCAATGTTCCCCAGGACATTCTCATTTTCCTGGGGTGAAGCACACAGGCTTTGTGTAATAGTGGTGCTCTGGATTCCTTCAGTGGCATCCTCATCAGCCAGAAGGAAGTCTAGCATCTGTTCCAACTCTCCAACTGAAGCAAGGCTATCATACTGCTCTTCCTTGATCAGATGATCCAGCACAAATGCCTCCAGGTCATAATGATTCTCAGCAGCATCAGCTCCTTCATCTAAGGCCACCTTCTGCTCAGGTAGTTCTGGCTGTTGTTTTATCACACTTTTGTCAGGAGCCGGTGCGGCCTCAGCAGTTGCAGGGAGCAGTTTAGCAGACCAGGCCAACTGCTGCACATCTGCGACTTCTAGTTTAGGCTGTCTGATTTGAGATTGGGAGCCCTCATCTTTCAAAGTACGCACACTGTTTGCCACCACTGTTGGCTGCACAGCAGGCGATTCATGCACCACTTCCCAGCAGCTGCCATTGATAACTTTTCTGAGCTTTACTCGGCCTATGTGACCTATTTCTTGGGGACCGTTTGGGAAGGGTGTTGGATCACTGGCGATGCGCTTTCTGCCTTTAGATTTTGGAAGAAGAGGGAGGCTTCTGAAGTCACAAGAATGGATACTGTCTTCTTTTTTTGTCTCATCCTTCCCAGGACATTTTTGTCTCCAGAGACGTCTAACAGACCTTGGCGATTTGCTGGATGTCACAGTGCAATGGTCTTTGGTGGCACAAGGCGTAGACAGAGGTGGGAAGGAAAGCTTTGGACGGCTGAGCTTTATCTTTTTTGAAGTCTGCAAACCGGCTCGAGCGTGTGTCTCTCCAGTCTCAGTCTCCTGTCTGTGCAGACCACCATTCTCATTATTGGCCATTATATTCCTTATTGTGCCTGCAGGGTGTTTTTTAACTTTTGGTTTCTGGGGATCAGCAGCAACCGTTTGGCCTTTTGAAATCTGTTTGTCACTACTTAGCAGTGCTGTAGTAAGCTTTTGCTTCTTTACGTCCTTCTGATCGGTACTGTTGTGGCTACTTATTTCTTCGGAGCATGATATAAAATTATTGCTGGATGTTGCTTGCTTGCCTGCAGCTAGCCAGGATGTCAAGCTACCTCCAGAGGGAGCAGAAGAATGAATTAAACTTGTCTCTGATGTGGACATTGGATTGGTTATCTGCAAACAGTTCCTGTTTAAACGCCGGCCCAATGTTTTTTTTACTAATTTTCCTCCCTCTAACTGTAAAGAATCAAGTTCTGACACCTGAAGCTGTCGTGCAGCTGCAAGAATATCCTGAGCTTCTTCCCGGGACACCTCCATCTCAGACGTATAGAGGAAATCTACCAATTTACGCAACGTCCCAATTTTCAGCCCCCGAATTTCCAGCACCACCTTGTGTCCCTTGGGGGGCATTTCTCGCTCCAACTGCTTTGTGAAGAAGGGGCTGCAGGCCGACAGGATGCAACAATGAGCTGGAACGGCTTCGCCTACAAAGAACACCATTATTAGCAGGTACTTTACCAGTGGACCATCAATTCTGACTGAAGATGTTCTCCATGGGCTAGTCTTGAAATTCTCCCACAGTCAATACATAATGTCAGGAAAGTGAGAATTGTACTGGGTCAGGGCAAAGACATAGCTAGTCCTAAATTCTGTTCCCAGAGCAGCTAACCAGAAGCACTTTAGGAAGCCTATTTTACTTGGCCTGGCAAGAAATGGAAGGAACATGCTAAATGCACCTTGAAGCAACCTCCCCAAGCAACTGTCTTTGCTCCCTTTTTCTGACAGAACAGAAGTGCAAAGATGTGAAAAGGTATCAGAGAGGAATCTGGACTTCATTGGAAGATGACAGGGTAGATGAAAAGGCTTGGTCCATTCGCCAGTTATTGCCATTCCCAGTACATAGATCATTGTTCATAGATGATTTAATTTTAAGCATATTAATTTAAATAATGTATTTCATTATATTTAAGTATTCTAAATTGCATTTTTCACATGTTAATTTAAAATAGTTGTACTTCTAAAACAAAGTTGCAAGAACAGGGTTCCTGTATAAAAAGAGATATTTTAGCTCACTCCATCCTTCCTTTTACATTAACTTACTGGGTAGTGTTAAAGTATACATTTTAATAAACAAAACCATACCTGCATCTTCCCTAACTAAATTTGCTTAGAGTTCTTAGATTAGTAATGCTTCTTTAAGACAAATGCCTAGCAATTTGGTCTAATCTGGGGACAACTGAGTAACAAAACAATTGCAAACTGTACAAACTACCATTATGTATTTTATTCGTAACTAACAAGATATTAAACAAATCCATAGGCATGCCGGAGGTAAAATTAAGCACCTCAAATGGCTCCATAGATTTCAGTGGAAGAATTCAACACAAATAAAAATAACAAGTAACAATAGCAGCACTGCAAATAACTTCCCTGGATCTATCACACATTTCTTTGCAAAATTTCACGATGGCTAAATGTTTCAAGTGCAAGAG